TTTGACATTCCATCAATGACTTTTGGCAGTCATCTAAAACACACCATACCCTGCATTTCATAAAGATAAAAAAATACATCATAACTCAAAGAAATTGCTGAGCTACCAGTATATACATAATGATTTATTTAACAAACATTTACTGAATACTATGTGCCAACACTGTGCTAAACCTTAGAGATGAGAATATAAGATATAGGACCTAACTGTATGAAACTGATGGTTTGGTAAGGAAGATACATAAACAGACAATTACAAAACACTTAAGTTGACTGATAAGTATATGTACAGAGTAGTACTATAATTAAAAGGAGATACCTAACCTAGCATATGGATCTCTGGAAAGGCTTCCTAAACTTAAAGTCTTTTTTTTAAGATTTTATTTATTTGAGAGAGAGGGTGCCTGCATGCATGAAAGGGGTGGGGGCAGGGGTAGCGGCAGAGGGAGAGGGAAAGGGAGAAGCAGCCTCCCCACTAAGCGCAGAGCCCAACATGGGGCTCGATCTCAGGACCCCAAGATCATGACCTGAGCCAAAATCAGATGCTTAACTCACCAAGCCACCCAGGTGCCCCCTAAACTTAAGTCTTAAAGAATATGTAACAGTGATCTAAATAGGAGATAATGGGAGAGAGTATTCTATGCTGAGATGGCAGCCTGACTAAAGTCATAGAGACACAAAGGAGAATGTCGTGGGCACAGAAGAGTACTGCTAAAGCAGCTCATGGTATGGAGTGGAGAGACATGAGGCTAGAGAGAGGTAGGCAGTGGTCACTCCAGGGATGATCCTGTGGGATATGTTAAAGAGCCTGGACTTTCCCTGGGCCTCAAAAGGATTTTTAGAAGGGAATGACATCAAAGAAATGGAACAAATAATCCTAAAATTTGTATGGAACCAGAAAAGACCCCGAAGAGCCAGAGGAATATTGAAGAAGAAAAGCAAAGCTGGTGGCATCACAATTCCAGACTTCAAGCTCTATTAGAAAGCTGTAATCATCGAGACACTATGGTACTGGCATAAAAATGGACACACAGATCAATGGAACAGAATCAAGAGCCCAGAAATGGACCCTCAACTCTATGGTCAACTTATCTTCGACAAAGCAGGAAAGAATGTCCAATGGAAAAAAGACAGTCTCTTCAACAAATGGTGTTGGGAAAATTGGACAGCCACATGCAGAAGAATGAAACTGGACCATTTCCTTACACCACACACAAAAATAGACTCCAAATGGTTGAAAGACCTAAATGTGAGACAGGAGTCCATCAAAATCCTAAAGGAGAACACTTTGACCTCTGCTGCATCAACTTCTTCCTAGAAACATTGCCAAAGGCAAGGGGAGCAAGGGCAAAAATGAACTATTGGGACTTCATCAAGATAAAAAGCTTTTGCACAGCAAAAGAAACAGTCCACAAAACCAAAAGACAACTGACAGAACAGGAGAAGATATTTGCAAATGACATATCAGATAAAAGGCTAGTATCCAAAATCTATAAAGAACTTATCAAACTCAACACCCAAAGAACAAATGATCCAAAAGAAATGGGCAGAAGACATAAACAGACATTTTTCCAAAGACATCCAAATGGCCAACAGACACATGAACAAGTGCTCAACATCGCTAGGCATCAGGGAAGTCCAAATCAAAACCTCAATGAGATACCACCTCATACCAGTCAGAATGGCTAAAATCATCAAGTCAGGAAACGACAGATGTTGGTGGGGATGCGGAGAAAGGGGAACCCTCCTACACTGTTGGTGGGAATGCAAGCTGGTGCAGCCACTCTGGAAAACAGTGTGGAGGTTCCTCAAAAAGTTGAAAATAGAGCTGCCCTACGACCCAGCAATTGCACTCCTGGGTATTTACCCCAAAGATACAAATGTAGGGATCTGAAGGGGTACGTGCACCCCAATGTTTATAGCAGCAATGTCCGCAATAGCCAAACTATGGAAAGAGCCAAGATGTCCATCGACAGATGAATGGATAAAGAAGATGTGGTACACACACACACACACACACACACACACACACACACACACTGAAATATTATGCAGCCATCAAAAGGAATGAAATCTTGCCATTTGCAATGACATAGATGGAACTGGAGGGTGTTATGCTGAGCAAAATAAGTCAATCAGAGAACGACATGTATCATATGATCTCACTGATATGAGGACTTCTTAATCTCAGGAAACAAACTGAGGGTTGCTGGAGTGGTGGGGGGTGGGAGGGATGGAGTGGCTGGGTGATAGACATTGGGGAGCCTATGTGCTATGGTGAGTACTTGAATTGTGTAAGACTGTTGAATCACAGATCTGTACCTCTGAAACAAATAATACATTATATATTTAAAAAAAAAAGAAGAAGATAGCAGGTAGGGAAAAATGAAGGGGGGGAAATCAGAGGGGGAGACGACCCATGAGAGACTATGGACTCTGAGAAACAAACTGAGGGTTCTAGAGGGGAGGAGGGGGATGGGTTAGCCCAGCAATGAGTATTTAAAGAGGGCACATACTGCATGGAGCACTGGATGTTATATGAAAACAGTAACTCGTGGATCACTACATCAAAAACTAATGATGTAATGTATGATGATTAACATAACATAATAAAATAAAAAAAAAAGGGAATGACATTTTCAGACTGCATCTTAGCGACGTCTCTCCAGCCCCTGAAAGAAGTATAAATGTGAGGGAGACATGGTGACCAGCTGTGGGAGTGACATGAGGACCTAAAGAAAGACTGTGATAGTAGGTATGGTTTCTATTAAGAAAGGCAGATATGTCAGATTGGATGCGGGGTAACTTCCAAGGGTCTGGCTAAAGATGATAATGCCTTTCATCCAAAGTAGGTAATATAGAAGAAAAAGCCAAGTTGAAAGGGAAGATGATGGATTCAGCTTTCGATGTGAATGTGATATGCCTCTGCGTTATCTAGGTGATTTCCAGCAAAAAGTTAAATATAGAAGGCTGAGGGGAGGTCTGAATGGGAGCCTAAAATTTGAATCAGCAAAATAGTAGAGACAGCCAAAATTATGAGTGAATATTCAGGGTATTATTTTGTTATTGCTTTCAATTTCAGCCATTCTAACAGGTAAGTACTAGTAACTCATTGTGGTTTTAATCTTTATTTCCCTAATGACTAATGATGTTTAGCATCTTTTCAAAGCTTCTTTGATATTAGTGTATCTTCTTTGGGGATTTATCTTTTTTTTTAAGATTTTATTTATTTACCTGTCAGAGAGAGAGAGAGAGAGAGCACAAGCAGGGGGAGTGGCAGGCAGAGGGAGAGGGAGAAGCAGGCTCCCTGCTGAACAGGGAGCCCGACGCGGGGCTCGATCCCAGGACCCCAGGATCATGACCCGAGCCGAAGGCAGTCGCTTAACTGACTGAGCCACCCAGGTGCCCGGGGATTTATTTATCTTATTCTCTGTGAGATTCTTATTCAAATTCTTTGCCTATTTAAAAAATTAAGTTGTTTTGGGGACGCCTGGGTGCCTCAGTTGGTTAAGCGACTGCCTTCGGCTCAGGTCATGATCCTGGAGTCCCCGGATCGAGTCCCACATCGGGCTCCCGGCTCAGTGGGGAGTCTCCTTCTCCCTCTGACCCTCCCCCCTCTCATGTACTGTCTCTCATTCTCGTTCTCTCAAATAAATAAATCTTTAAAAAAATTAAGTTGATTTCTTATTTTTGCCTTTTGAGAGTTATTTATGTATTCTTGATACAAGTCCTTTATCAAATATATGCTTTGCAAATATTTTCTCCCCGTGTGTGGCTTCAACAATGTCTTCTGAAGAGCATATGTTTTATCTCGTTGAACTTCAATTTCTCAATTTTCTTTCCTACGTCATGCTTTTGATGTTGCACCTGAGAAATGTTTACTTAAGTAAAATCACATGTCTTGTCTTTCTAGGAAGTTTTATAGTTTTTTGTTTTCCATTTACATCTATGATCAATTTTGAGTTAATTTTGTTTATGGTAGGAAGAATGGATGGATGTAATGATACTAGATAGAATCAGTCATGAAGAGTGTACTGAATGAGAAGTGCAAAGGGTAGATGGAACCTAAGAAAAAACATAAAATTAAGGCTTAAGAAACAGGTGTTGGGCAAAAAAGACTCAAGGCATTGTCTTAAAAGCAGCAGTAAAATTCTAAATAATCAACACTGCCTACTAAGATAAACAATGGAAATTGTTTTTTTAATTTGGGTGAGGTCACTAGTGACCTTACCAAGAGCATTTACAGTCAAACCATTCCGATATCGGAACTATATCTAACCAACCACTTTATAGGAATTCCCCCTGTGGAAGCAATTGAAGTTTGAAATTCCTGAGCACTCTTAAAGGTCACTTTTCTAGGCACAGGATCATGGGGCGGGGGGGAGGGCTGTCTGGGCTTCCCGACATTGAGGATGACTGAGGCACATCCCAGTCACACCCCTTGGGGCACTCCCAAATGAGGTCTTGGGTATGGGAACAAACCCCAAGCAGCATCGCCCCGCTGGGAAATCAGAATCACAACGATGGCCAGATTTGCTAAACTGACACCTCACCAGGGAGGCAGCTGGTTAAACTACAACAGAATGCAAAAGCGAGGTTGGAAATACCTGCACTCGGGCAATCCCGGGCAAATTAGGAAATCCCTCCCACCCTCCACCCATTCGTGTGACTGGAGGAAAGGCGCAAGGCGCCGGGCTGCGCGGCCCCACCTCGGGTCCAGCCCCTACCGGGCGAAGAGCTCCTGCACTTACCCTGTCCTAGGATGGGGATATGTAAAGCCACGGGCTAAGGGGATCGCGGGTACTCCTCATCCTTTCCCAGAAGGCATGTTGGGGGGCTCTGGATGGACTCCCCTGGCCAACTGACCTTTCCCCTCCCCGCACCAGCAGTCGACGGGTCACTTCTTTTCCGGTTCTCCCGAACCCCACCCCAGCGCTCTCCCGCCGCCCCCAGCTAGTCGTAAAGTGCAGTAAAGGCGCCAGCGTTTTGCGGCACCGTAGGTGAGGGCGGTGGCGTGCGTATTCACTCCGCGCGAATCCGCCTTTCCGGTACCTGCTTTTTCGGAAAGGCTCCAATTAGCAATTTGGGGACCCAACTACAATTTTCAGAGGGTAATTGACTGATCTTAGTTTGGTGTAGCGAGAAAAAGCGGGGTTTTTAAGAACACTCATTCCAGTCCTTATTTAAGAGGCGTGAAGTAAGGTTCTCAGGCCTCGTTTGTGACTTGCCGTCCCTGCTTGTGCTGTCTTGGTTTTCATTTTCATGTTCATCGCTAGATTTTACGTATCTTCGGTGTAGCTGACACTTGTTTTTCTTGTTCACTTCGTCCTGCAGTCTCCCTCCCCCTGGACTTTGAAATGCTTTACCTGATCGGCTTGGGCCTGGGCGATGCCAAGGACATCACAGTCAAGGGCCTGGAAGTTGTAAGACGCTGCAGTCGAGTGTATCTAGAAGCCTATACCTCAATCCTGACTGTAGGGAAGGAAGTCCTGGTAGGTACTTAAGGTTCTCCAGTCCCTGGGAAGAAAGCTGTCTAACAGCTGATTTTCATTACACTAAGCTGAACCCAATTTTCAGGTCTGCTTCTTTAAACACATCCCCTGCTCGTTTTGGATCACAAGAATGGGAATAATACAACAACCAAGTGACTTGGAAAATGAAAGGGTGCTGTCTTACTTACAAGTCTAATTTTGTGGTTTTCTCCAGTAAATAGGAAAGTTATTTTACACTCCTGGGGATAGTTATCAAAATCCCTTATTTCATGAGATACTCAGATTTTTTCTGAGTTGAGTGCTAATGAGGTACCGACATAGCCTTAATGAGTTGGTTATATATTCAGAAACCAAGCTGAAAGCTTCTCCCTTTGAAATATTTCCATAGGAAATGGTAATCGCCTTTCTGTCAGTATCCTATCCAGAGAGGTCGTAACTTTAAAAAGATTGCCAGTAAGGCTAATACACATACTCTTGTGTATATTGAGTGAGCCTGGAACTTAATAACCTTAGGATTTGTTACTGTATCATACATTTAGCTTGCGCTTGTTGTAGGGCTTGTAGGGCTCTACATTTTGGAGGAGGGATTAAGTAGTTCAGGTTCATTGTCAAACTCCAATTAGAACATAAATTAAGATGTAGAGAGTGATGGACATGTTACAGGAGAAGGGAGAGGATTTTGGAATTGTCTGGTCTACCAAGGCTTCTGAACAAAAAGGTGACCTAGAGAATTTCAGGTCTTCTATTCTCTCCTATTCACAGCCCAGAGAATTCTTGTCTCAGAGTTACCTTAAAATCTTAAGGAATTAAAGACTGCTACTTGAATTAGCCATGCACTAATGTGGAAGTTGTGGCTAATGCCCAGCTTTGATTTGTTGACTCTGATTTGTTGGGTTGGAACCAAAGTATTTCAGCTCAAGATAATAAATATTCCTCCTCAAGGAAAACTAGAATGAATTTAAATTCGTCTAAGAGAGTAGAGACAAATAACAAATCAGTGTTTTTTTAGGATAAGATGTCAGGGCATGGCATAGAGGAAAGTTGGACCTGTCTTTATGCCTTCTCTGTTACATGTTACCATGTCACCCTGGACAAGTCCTTTAACTTTACTTTTTTACTTTGTGAAATGGGGATAATAGTGCCTACCTCATATGTTCTTAACGTAGTGCCTGTAGCGAAAATGTTGAGAAATGGTAGTTGTTAATGGACACATTTCCAAATTTCTTTAAACCTCAGTAGCTTCATTTGTGAAAAAGGAGATAATAACCAATTGGAGGGTTATGTAGGATTTTATTAAGATGATGTATTGGTTGCTGTAATTTTTACAAGTATTTTTTTTCCAAAAACTTATTGTTGGGGCTGGGCCTAGCCTTACCTACAGGTAAATTCTGTGTACTTTGTTAAGGTGCTGGAATATCTGTTCCTCCACAATAATAAGTGCTAATATTTATAGAATACTTACTATGCACTGTGCTAAGTGTTTTACATGTAGAACAGGACTATTACTCTATAATTGCTATTCACATTTTACCGGCACAGAGAAACTTGCCCAAGGTCATACAGATAGTAAGTGATACGACCAAGACAGAGTTGAGTTGAGAAGCACCAGTCTTAACATTTATACCATACAGTGTCTGTCTTAATACTCAGGGATAGATAATAGCTTTACAAAATAATGATTTCAGAGAATGTCCACAGAGAAGGTAGGATTCAAGCAAAATGCTTTGTGTATCACAGGTTCCATTGGTCTGCTCTTCATGACCTACTCCAGGTCCTTAGTTCATGTTTTTCCCTGAGCAAATTGGTGTGCAACATCAGCCACCTTTAATGACTCTTTTCTGGAATAAAGTAAGGTATAAATAAATAAATTCATGCCTTATATTGCCTAGTAAAATCTCAGAGCCACTTTCTTCAGTGACTTCCTTTCTATTTCCTTTTAGTTCTACCTTTTCTTTTTTTATAAACAAATTGATTTTTAAAAATTGTTGACATGTGCTCACACCTATATATTACAATCTGGTCTCAATAACTAGATAATTGTATAGCGAGAAAAAAGATTGGAAAAATCTATTTTCCTCAGTGAATATGTGCTTTCTTTTATCAATAATCACACAAAATAGTATTTTATAAATGGCACACATGGATGTTGCTAAAGAAATCTGGAATTTGGGGCACCTGGGTGGCTCAGTCAGTTAAGCATCAGACTCTTGGTTTTAGCTCAGGTCGTGATCTCATAGGTCCTGAGATGGAGCCCCAGTCATTCTTCGCGCTCCGTGGGGAGTCTGCTTTAAGATTCTCTCTCTCTGCCTCCCCACCCACCCGTGCTACCTGTCTCTCTAATAAGTAAATCTTTTTTATTTTATTTTTTTAAGATTTTATTTATCTGAGAGAGCGAGCGAGCGAGAGAGAGCACAGCCAGGGGAGGGGCAGAGAGGAGGAGGAGCAGACTCCCCGCTGAGCAGGGAGCCTGATGTTGTACGACTTAATCTCAGGACCCTGGGATCATGACCCGAGCCCAAAGCAGACGCTTAACTGACAGAGCCACCCAGGCACCCTCAAATAAATAAATCTTCAAAAAAAAAAAAAATGGAATTGATCTTTGCTTACATTGAAAACTAATATTATTTATATGTTCTGTGTTATTCAGAAGTTAATTAAAATAGAGACAGTGAAACCAGCAAAGAGTTTTAGTACTACACTTTAAATTTTTTTAGACACTTTCTGTGAATAAATTATGATTTTATGTGCTGTTTTGGTGTAATACGCCTGTACTGCCTTATACAAAGAGGTATAAGCTATGATCTTTGTTCTCAAGTGGTTCATGATTCATCTGTGTTATACTCAGGAAAACTTAATAATGGAAGATTTAAATAACAATTCATGGCAACAGTGGCAGGAAGAAACTATAAAATTATATTGCTGGGAAGAACTTAGATGATCTTATTTAAGCCAATGTTGTTTTCATGAATTAAATAGTAGAAGCTGTCTCAAATAGTAAATAATTACTAGTTTTTAATTCCAGTTGAAATACATATAAGAAGATCACTTCAGGTCATGGTGGCCAGAGAATACTATGGAATAGATGGAATTTGAGCTATCTCTTAAAATAATGCATCCCAATCTTTTTGTTTTGTTTCTTTTGTTTTCATGGTCTAAATAGAAAATGGTAATATTTATACAGCTCTGGAGGGTAAATAGAGGAAGCTGCTTTGGCCAAATGGGGCTGACTTTGGGGCTCTAGTTATCCTGTAGAAAGCAGAGGAGATCACTAAGCTCTGCTTGTCTGTGCCTCATTTGTTTTTTTGGTCTTCTTGGTTTTTTTAAGTACGCTCCATGCCCAACGTGGGGCTTGAACTCACAAGCCCTGCAACCCTGAGATCAAGAATCGCATGCTCTACCAATTGAGCCAGCCAGGCACCTCTCTGCCTCATCTCTAGTACATGTAAAGTTTTGCAGTCAACCAGTCACTTGTTGGTTGTGACTTTGGGCAATCACTTAACTTTGTGTTCTTTTTCTTATTTCTTAAACAGGGATAAAAATAGGGAGTATCTCATAGATTGTGATGAAGATTAAGTGAATTCATACGCATAAGTTCTTAGAACTATGCCTGACCCCAGAGTGGTCTAATGTAAATGTATTATAAATATTGTTATTATAGATAAGACTTGGTAAAGGGAAGAGAAAGAGATAGTTACTATAGATAAGATTTGGTAAAGGGAAGAGAAAGTATTCCTTACTGAAGAAAAAGATAATTGTGAGCAAAACCATGGAGGAGATAAGCACAATAATTTGCTGTACTTGTTCTTGGGCATCACGAAAATAACTTTCATTTTCTCCCAGTGTATCCGTTTCCCTCTTTTCTTCCTAATCTGCTTCATCTGGATACCAGCTCACTCTACTTGTCTTCCTATCCAGCTGCGGCTTGCTAGTGGAGGGACAGACTTCCCACTGAGAAAGATGAGGCAATCATCTGTGGCGTTTATTAACTTACCATGTCTTTCCCTTAAATCTGAATCTGTCTTCCCCCAAGTCTTAGAAAATGACTTGTTAGATGAGGTTCTCAGCCTGTTGAAGACAACTCTACTAGGTGTGTTTTCTCCAAACCTCTTCCTCTCCCTTCCTCTGAAACCTTATTCCCATCGTTTATTCTTTCTTCGTTATGTTTGATGTATATTAACTTCCTTCTCCCCTCAACCTGAAACCATATTCAGATTTTGTCCTTCTGAAATCTCTCCCCTTTTAAACCTCTTTTCTCCAGTTATTGTTTCTGTCTCTTCTTTATCCAAAGCTTTTTGAAAAAGCAGTGTACATTTATTATCCCCACTTCACTCATAGCTCAGACTCCTGCAAGCTGACTTCTGTTCCTCTGAAATATTTCTGTTTGTTAAACAATTATTTAGCAGCTGAGAATGCCACAGGATAGTTTTCAATTCTTACTTCTTTTACTTCTTCTGACATAGTTGATCACTCCTTGAAACTGGCTTTCATGACATTACTTTCTCTTGGTTTTACTTGTACTTTTCCATTTTTTTCAGTCCCTTTCGTAAGCCCTTATTTCTCTATTCCTTCTTTCAATGTTAATGTGTTTGGGGTTTTCTTTAGGTTTTCTTTTCTTGTTTATGTATCCTACTTCTAGCCTCTACTTTTTATTTTTTTTTTTTACTAGGTAATACATTAAATGGTATAAAATTCAAAAGATACTAAATGGTATATACATTGAAAGATTTCTATTGTGGTTCCCCTTCCTGGAGGCAGTTATTGCTAATTTCTTATGCATCCTTCCAGAAATACCCAAAAGTAATTTTAATTTTAATTTTTTTACCCTGTCCCCCTTACAAAACCTGCCAACCTAAAGCAGGAATGAATTTTGAGTTTTGCCTTCATTTTCATGAGTGGAGAAGATTAGGGCTGATACTGTACAAAAACTGGCTAATCAGTCATTGAATAATACATAATATAAATGTAAAATTATTTGTTAAATAACACTGCCTTTTTATAACCCCTCTTCCCTGACTCTTACTAGGTTCCATGCTCTTGTAGCACTTAATGATATGGTAGATAATTCCCCACTAAACATTATAAGCCACAGGACAGGGACCACATATGTCTCATTCACCATTGTTTCCCAACATCAAGCATGGAAATTGTGGGGAAGTTGTGCACAAGAAATATTCTTCAAGGGGCCCCTGGGTGGCTCAGTCGTTAACTGTCTGCCTTTGGCTCAGGTCGTGATCCTAGGGTCCTGGGATTGAGCCCCATGTTGGGCTCCCTGCTCCACAGGAAGCCTGCTTCCCCCTCTCCTGCTCCCCCTGCTTGTGTTCCCTCTCTCGTTGTGTCTCTCTCTGTCAAATAAATAAATAAAATCTTAAAAAAAAAAAAAAGATTCTTCAAGTGAGTGAATGAATAAATAACCAAGTGGGTAAATTAAAAAGAATGTAATACCAGTTTCTTACTGCTTTTGCTCTTTCTTCCCCCTTTTAAACTCCCCCCCTCCCCCCACCCGCCCAAGACCATCAGCCATTTAGTTATACTGGACTGTTTGGCTATGTGTGCATAGGTCTGCATATGTGGATAAGTTTTGTTTTTTTTTTAATAAATGTGTGTTTCAATTAAATAATGAAATGTTTCTTAGGATAAAAAAGATAGAGTGATACATGATAGAAGTCTTGAGGAGAGTGGGGTTTTCTTTTGTTAAATCATTTATAAAATATTGGATAGGATTTAGGATTACTGCTAGCATTAAGCTAGTAACATGACTTTGATCTTAAGAAATGTTAGTTCAGAAAAAATATCATTTCCTTCAGTTTTCTATAATCATGCGTGTATCTTCTTAGATATATGTGAATATAAATGTTCTACCACTAGTAAGTTTTCTGGACTCATAAAATTAAAGGAAGTTATATACAAATTAATGATTAAGAAAAAATATATGGTAAAGGTGAAAATAAAAACATTTTTCATCTGTAAAAACGTTGTCATTGGGAACTTCTGGAGCATTATCTCTGAGAAGATATGCAGAAAAAGGGAAGAGATCTTTTTTCACATTTCAGGGACAGATTCTAGTTAAGTATTAGGCAATAATTATCAGAGTTGGAACTATGGCCTTTATCTCCAAGTGCTTAATCATTTGTTTATTTACTCTTTTGCTTGACAGTTAAATTATTGAATACAGCGGTCATTGCAATGTTTGACATCTGATATAATCCTTAAAGCTCAAACTTCTCAGCATGTAAGAAATAGTATTTGTTTATGCATTCACTTTTACTATATTTGAATTACATATTACTCCACAGGAAATCAGTTAATAAGATTCATGACCTTTCATAATAGTTTGTAACCACCACCACATGACCATTAGCCCACTAGTTCACTATCTGTACTTACATGCTGCCACCCCAGTTAAGGTCAGCCTTCTGGGTTTATTTTCTAGAGTTGAACTTCAGGGGATTGGTTCACAAAGCACTTTATATGGAGACTTCCTATATGATTAGAATTTTTTTCTTTCCTCTGCAACTCTGCCTTTTTAGCAGGAACTAGGAAATACAGTTTAAATTAATCTTTCCTGCAATTATATAGGAATGTTTGCTGGCTCTACGGATAACTAAATCTTAATTTTCTATTATTTCTCATTGAAATTACCTTTTATTTTAGCCAGGGTCCTGTAGGTTTTCCTATGGAAAATTTAATAAAACCCAAATTACCGTGTATGTTTATAATTATTATTTAACATATTCTGTATTATAGCTCATGCATACATGTTCTCTGTTCATTCTACAGTGTTCTGCCTGATCTATTAGACTCAGATTTAGAGGTAAATTTAAAATGCAGAAAGCCTCAGATGTTAGGAAGTCTACCTCCTCTTGGGATATTAAGATAGCCCCAAAGACAGAGTTTAATTGCAACATGATATAGAGTGCTGGCTCACTGAGGAGTCGTATTCAATAATCTGTGTTTGGATGGTTGCCAAGATTTGCACCAGCCCCAGACAAAAATTGGTGTGTGTGTGTGTGTGTGTGTGTGTGTGTGTGTACATGTGTTGAAATGGTCACCTGCTGTTTCATTTTGATATTGGACTTAAATCTATAGGAAGAGTTTTATGGAAGAAAATTGATTCTTGCTGATAGAGAAGAAGTGGAACAAGAAGCTGATAATATTTTAAAGGATGCCGATATCAGTGATGTTGCATTCCTTGTGGTTGGTGATCCATTTGGGTAAGTCAAAGCAGGTATTTTGAGTTTTAATTTATTTGCTTTTAAAAAAAAATCAGTAAGAATTATTCTGTTATATCTAAAACCTTTTACTTGCCAGGTCCTAATAAAGGACTGTGTTACCTAGGTTCTAAAATTTCATTAACTTTCATTATCTTTGAGACTAATGAAGAAAATCTGTTTGATAAGGATATCATCATATATATCACTTACATTGGTTATTGTCAGTTCTAAAGTTGTATCATTGCTCCTGCTCTTCTTTTAGAAGGTAACTTAGGGCATCAAATGACTTAACTAGTATGTCATTATTAAGTGTATTACATTATCAAGAGTCATACCTACCATTTATTTTGCAGGCAAATTGCAAGCATCTTCTACTTCCTTTGTCCTAGGCTTTTTTTTTCCTTTTTTAATCACCTCATATTTAGCAATATTGTCACTTTACTTGCCTTGAATTTAAAATCTGTCCAGCCTCAAATTTCAATTCCTTATATCCATTGGGAGCTGTGTTCTTCCCCATTACTAAAAAGATGGGTTTCTACTTGTCTAGTTAAGCATCATCAATCTCTAATGTCAAGCCATACAGAGGAGTTCTTTGTTTCCAGCTGGTGACCCAAGATTTATGTCACAGATTTAAGGAACATAAGGACAATTAAATCACTATGAACTCACCACCGAGGACTTTTTTCCAAAAGAATGGAGTTACATGTGCATGTGTCTGTCAAAAAAAAAAAAAAAAAGAAAGTAATTTACATCAATGTGGTGTTCCAAAGATTGTGTTTCATTATACTTGGTTGCAAATGACATTGTGCAATCACATATTTTAAAATATCCAAATTGTTTTAGCCTCTGACATTGTTTTCTGTAAAAGTAAGTCTTCCTCCAAATTAGCAGTGCCTATTTTCCTTTTTTTTTTTTTTTTAAGGTTTTCTTTATTTATTTGACAGAGAGGAGAGAGAGAGCACAAGCAGGGGGAGCGACAAGCAGAGGGAGAGGGAGAAGCAGGCTCCCCACTGAGCAGAAAGCCCAATGTGGGGCTCCATCCCAGAAACCTGGGATCATGACCTGAGCCGAAGTCAGATGCTTAACCAGCTGAGCCACCCAGGTGCCCCTCCCTTTTTTTTTTTTTTTTAAGCCACAAAATAGTAAAGTAAAGGTAATGAAAAATCCTATATATAAAATATCTTGGAACTCTTGTAGGATTTTCTCATTGCACTGGATTCTGGCCAAGTCCCATATTTTCTATAGTGACATCTTCTGAACCGTCCAAACTTCCTTACTTGATGGTATCACAATTCTTAGAGTTACCTTAGAGTAATCTCAGAGTCACTTTTGACTTCCATGGCATCCAGTCACTGACAAAGTTCAATAAACCAGTGCTACTCAGTGTGGGGTTTACAGACTGGTGCCAGCTCACAAACTTACTAGTCCATGATGAGAACTACAGAAATTGAAAGTAAGCATTTAGAAATTTTATAGGAGTTTTTAAAAGTAATTTTGTCTCTGCTGTATCTCATAATAAAAATTTGGAGCTTATATTTTCTATTACTTTATATTTTATTTTTCTAATCACTAATTTTGATTGCATTTTACAAAACTATTGTTCCATGCCAATTTAGAACTTAAGTTACTAGCTTTTCACTAGTTTGAGAAGCACTGCTTTTGACTTTTTTTTTTACTTATAATTATTGGTTTATTATATAATAAAGGATATGATAAAGGATACAGAGGAACAGCCAGATGAAGAGGTGCATGAAGAGAGATCCAGAAGAGTGCCAAGCGTGGGAGCTTCTGTCCTGGAGTTGAAGTAGGCCACTCTCCCAGCACATAGATGTGTTCACCAACCCAGATGCTCTCTAAATGCTATAGTTCAAGGACTTTTATGGAGGCTTCATCATGTAGGCATGATTGATTATTAACTCAATTTCCAGCCCCAATTTTTATGTTGTTTTATTCCCTAGTTTAATATAGTAGCCTTTTGCCTGGTCCCGATGCAGACTCTTATTTCATTACCTACGTTGTGGTCAAATTTATATTTGTGAAACCACAATTTGAAAATTTTTTTTTTTTAAAGATTTTATTTATTTATTTATTTGACAAATAGAGATGCAGTGAGAGAGGGAACACAAGCAGGGGGAGTGGGAGAAGGAGAAGCAGGCTTCCCACTGAGCGGGGAGCCCAATGTGGGACTCGATCCCAGGACTCTGGGATCATGACCTGAGCTGAAGGCAGACGCTTAACGACTGAGCCACCCAGGCGCCCCACAATTTGAAAATCTTATTTGAGCTCAGAATGAGAGTTACTAGCTCCATCCATTGGCCAGATATGAAAAATACTGTCCAACCTTCCCTTCTGCCTGTCCTTCTTGTCCTAAAGCCCACACTCATGATGGCCAGTTTGCCCTTCCCTGGTCATCTTGCTTTCTCATTCTGTACATCTGTTCAATCTCTTTCCTTCCTCTATAATGCCCTTTGCTATATATCTGATTGTCAGAAGTCCAGCCATCTTTTGAAGCCTAACTCAAATACCACGTTCTCGGTGATGCAGTTCTTTCTTACCCTGATCTGGGTAATAACGTCATTCATACGTTCTCATACGTTGCCTCACGATGTTTTTTTTTTATATAAATGTATATATCTACTCTCTAGGTTTGTAGGCTGTCCTTCACACTTGTCTCCCTAGCTTCCTTCACAGTGCAGTAGATATCAATTAAATATTAAGGGAAAGAGTTGTTTAATATTTTGCCTGGGGTCACAAGGGAAGACCAGGCATGTCTTGGACTGATGTTTATCCGTTCAACAAATATCTTTGGAACACCTGTCCCATGACAGGCACTGCTACGTGCTGGGCATATGTTAGATGATGAAACACGGGGTTTAGGGTTTAGTAGAGGAGGCCAACATCAGTCAAAGAGAAAACAGATTTAAAATTTTGGTAGGCCTGTAAGGGGAAAAAAGAAAAAAAGGACTAACAGGAATACGCTAATGTGTGTAGGGTTGTACGGGAAATCCTTTTTGTTGAGGTGAGATTTAAGTAGGTATCTGAAAAATAAAAGGAATAGCAGAGGGGAAGAGCACTGTAAGCAGAGGGAACTGCAAGAATGTATTCGGGGACCTGGAAGAGCATGGTGAGTGGGTGGGGGGAGGGAGAGAGAAGGAGTTCACGAGGTAGGCAGGACCCAGGTCATGTAAGACCTAGGAGGGGGTAGGGATTTTGTTTGAAGTACTCTGATAGGGGCGCCTGGGTGGCTCAGTAGGTTAAGCGTCTGCCTTCGGCTCAGGTCATGATCCCGGGGTCCTGGGATCGAGTCCCGCGTCTGGCTCCCTGCTCAGCAGGGAGCCCGCTTCTCCCTCTGCCTGCAGCTCCCTCTGCTTGTGCTCACGTTCTCTCTCTCTCTGACAAATAAATAAATAAAATCTTAAAAAAAAGATGAAGTACTCTGGTAAATCTTTGAAGGATTTTAAGCAGGAAAGAATCACAATCTGATTGACATTCTTAAATGATCACTCTGAATGCTCCCCTGAGTGGATTTTAGGGAGGCAAGGTGGCTTTAGTAGAGGAGAGAAAAAGGCTAAGTGGGAAAAGTCAAGAAGGAAGAATGCCAATATGTATGTAGGTGAAGAAAAGGAAAGAAGTTTTCCAGAATTCCAGCTTTAGGAACTGAGTAGTTGATGGTGCCAGTTCTTGAAAAGATGAAAACTTGTAGGGAAAATAATTGGGAAAGACAGGAATTGGTTCTGGAAATGTTTTAAATTTGAGATGTCACGTAGGCAATTTGATATCTGCTGCTGGAGCTCAAGGGAGAGTTACCCTGGATATATGGTTTTTGAAGTTAACGGGTATTTATCGGGGGAGAAGGGGAGAGAGGATGTTTAAAGCCAGAGAAATGGATGAAATCACTAGGAAAGAACAAGGGGAAGAGAAGATAAAGCCTTAGGAAACTTGAATTTCGTGGTCTGTCAAGAGCCAGAGGAGGAAGAAAACCAAGATAATGTGTTGTCACAGAAGCCCAGAAAAAAGAAGACTTTAGAGAGGAAAGAGTGGTTAACTCTGATACACTGCTGAAAGGTTGGGCCGAGGGTGAGGATAGAACTAAGTGTAAATTCAAAGGCATAGAGTTTGGAGTTTTTCATTGGTGGCTTTATGGAGGAGTTGCTGCTTGAGCTGGGTCAAATTTGTTATTTTCTCTTTGATTGATGTCGACCTCCTCTACTAAACTCTAAACCCCGTGTTTTATCATCTAACATAGGTGGAAATTGTAGAGGAGGTCAGCAGGGGGTGGGAGGGGGAAGGGGAGAATTCCACATAAATGAAGAATTGAGGCCTAAAAAAGTGCTTCGATGATAATACTACCCTGCTCAAAAACCTTAAGTGACTTTTTCATGGCCTAAATCTTTTAACAAAATCTATCTGCTTTCTCCTTTGGCTACTCTTCTTTTTGACTATGCTAAAGCCCAATTGTACTACTTTGCCATTTCATAAGTGTGTTTTTTTTTTTTTAAGATTTTATTTATTTATTTGACAGAGAGACACAGCGAGACAGGGAACACAACAAGCAGGGGGAGTGGTAGAGGGAGAAGCAGGCTTCCCGCCGAGCAGGGAGCCCGATGCGGGGCTCGATCCCAGGACACTGGGATCATGACCTGAGCCGAAGGCAGACACTTAACGACTGAGCCACCCAGGCACCCCTCATAAGTGTTTTTGCAATATTCATCTTCCGTGTCTTTGATCATACTTTTTTCTTAAAATAGACTTTTCTTACCAGCTAACTTACATATATTGTGAAGTGATTACCTCAATAAGTTTAGTTAACATCCATCATACAAGAAAAGAGAAAGAAAAAAGCTATTTTTTTTCTTGTCATGAGCAATCTTAGGATCTACTCTCATTAATGACTCAAATATATCATACAGCAATGTTAAGTCTAATCCTCCCCAGTTTCTATTTAGTAAAATAGTTGATTCTTTAAGACCCTGTTCAGATGCTACCTCTTCCATGAATCCTCCGCTATTTTATTCAGGAGTGGGTGCCTTTTCTTTTTTCTTTTCTCTTCTCTTCTTTTCATTTCTTTTTTTTTTCTTTTAACTCCTACGCAATTAATTTGCTGTATGTCATTGACTGAATCATGTGTAATCTTATATTCAGATTTGTGTAATAATTATTGTACTATAGTTATTCTTCATTTACTCACTGGATTGCTGTTGAGATACAGTCGTTGGGGATATAGTAGTTGGAGACGGGATGGTAGGGAACATGTACATTTTAATTGGGCTGGGAATTATGATTTCTATGCATTAAATGGATAAACCAGGAGGAGAATACAGAATGCAGCAAAGCACTAAAATTCTTCCTTACATACAACAACAACAAAAAGTTACTTGTTTAATTTTAAGCCCCTTTCCACTTACTTGAATAAAAACTTTAAAAAGAAAATTACTTAAATTCTTTATTCTCATGTTTTTTAAATTATAGTATATGTAATGTAATATTTACCACATTAGCCATTTTTAAGTGTGCATTTCAGTGGCATTAAGTAGTGTAACCATCATCCACTCTTAAATTCCTGAAGAAGGTAATTGAAAGTCAGTTAAGTCAGTTGATGTAGTTCTCATCTTTTCCCTCTTGTCCAGGTTATTGATAGGAATGTGGACGTTAATCAAAGAATGTAAATGACTTTTAAAAAAATACTACATTAATAGATCTGACCCAGTCATGTGAGAGATGACAGTCTTAAGCTTTCTGTCCCCATAAAGAATAGTTGGACAGAGTCATCACTAAACAAATTTTAATGATGGTTCCATTTTGTTACTCCATTCCTTATTTTAATATGCTCTGTAACTATATATATTTTATAATCATTGAACACATAATTTTTTATCCTTAATGTTGTGTGCCTTTTCCTTCATGGCATACACATCTTTATTCACTTGTCTTCTTTGTGCTTTTATGTAGGTCATTTGATTGTTTCCATTCCAAGAACTGCATTTGAACAGTACTTGGCACCTAGTAATTACCCAGTAAATGTCAGCATTATTATCATTAGTCCATTTATTTCTCCAATATAAGTAAAGCTGCCATGTTTGGATTAATGTATATGATCCTTTTTCCCCTCTTTCCATTCTCCCTTCCCCACGTTTTGGATTTTTTTCCCTCCAAAATCAGTTTATAATACCCAAAAAATCTTTGAATATGGGTATTTTCAAGCATATATTGTCAGATTACTTTCCAGAAGGACTGTACCAAGGTGCCTGGGTGACTCAATTGGTTAAGCATCTGACTTCAGCTCAGGTCATGATCTCAGGGTCCTGGGATTGAGCCCCGCATCGCATCAGTCTCCATGCTCAGCAGGGACTCTGCTTGTCCCCCGCCCTCTCCCTCTGCTCCCCCACCCCACTTGTGCTCTCTGTCTTTCTCTCTCAAATAAATAAAATGTTTAAAAAAAAAAAAGGACTGTACCAATATATAGTTTTTACCATATCATTCCAAATATTAGTGAATTTTCAGATCATAAGCCATACACTGTCAAATATGGCAGTACTATATCTGTAAACTAATGTTATTATAAAATAAAGTTTATTTTTAAGTGGGCTCCACTCTGGGCCTGTGTACACACACACACACACACACACACACACACACACGATTTTGGATAGAGCCACATGCCCAAAAATAATAATAAATTTGTCTTGACACACACACACACACACACACACACACACACACACACACACACACACACACACACTTTTCCAGTCACCATAACTGACGCGTTTTCATGACCCTGGACTAGAAGGAATGCCCAGTATAATGGTGTAAGCCTGTGTTTCAAACCAATTTTTTCTTTTTCATGAAGCAATATACTTTGGGTAATCGTGATGATAAAATACCAGTTTTTCATAGCAGAAATCTGAGGGGCTTATTTAATCACATTTATGGCAGCATCACAAAATCAAATCACTTTGCCAGGTCATTAAATCTCCGTAGTATACCAACCACATCTGGTCATTTTAAATGAAGTTGTGATAAAGAGATAATTTTAAACCACGTTTTCTTCCTGCTTATCTATTCAAATAACTTAGCAAGTAACTAATTCAGTTTTCCTTAATCTTAGTGTTAAGTAGTAAAAGTCTGTTGAAGACGATATTAAAAACATTCTTTATAACTGGCATTTATATTATTTTTTTTAAAAGCTTACTCTAACTCAAATTAATGGTTGTTTTTCATACTAGTTTTTATTTTATGTGTGATTAAAAACAGCCTTCCCTGGTGGGCATTTGTTAATCTGTTTCTGACTGCCTCATGGGGTGAAAGCCCTTGATCTTCCTACTTGGTATGCATTGACCAGTTGACAGGTTCTGCTGGTTTGTATGTAGTTTCTCAAACATGCTAATGTTGTTTTCCCCAACAGGGCCTGGAGTTTTCATCAAGGGGAATTAATAATGCAGTTCTAAATTGATGTGGGGTTACATTTCACAGTATCCGTATTTATATTTACATATATTCTCTCTCCTCACAGTCTATCTAATTATAATCATTAGATTTATCTCAAAAAAGGAAAGGCAACAGGCAGGATATGCATGCACACATACTAATTATATATACAGTAACCAGACTGAAAACAGTTATAAATAAAATCACTGCTAGACAGATGTAAAATCCAACTACGATTGTATCAGATAGAACCCTAATATAAAGGCAAAGAATGACAGGCTACAGAAATGTTCTGTACCATCTGCCTTGTATTTCAAAACACAAAAAAGAAACCTTCAAAATAGAGCTGAAATCAAAGAGTAGGTCTATCTGTGCTGTAATTTAGAACTCAGAGCAGTCATTTTAAAAGTTTAAAGGGCCTGTAAGGCCAAAAAGTTTAAGAATTGCTGCTCAGGAGTTCACTTGCTGAGCTTACATTCCACAGATGTCTTTGCAGGTATTATCAGGACAAAAGAGCAAGTAAAACTTCCCTTTCTCTGTAGCTGCCAAGGCTGCTTTAAGAGTGTGACACACTTGTTCAGCATTATGAAGGGCATGTGGAGACTTAACACTTTTCTTGTCAGAAAGCCCGGAACTTGAGGAAAAGCAGCCCCCATAACCCTTTGATTGACTAGAACTCATGAAATACTATACCTTTACTGTCTTAAAAAGTCAGTGTTGGGGTGCCTGGGTGGCTCAGTCGGTTAAGTGTCTGCCTTCGGCTCAGGCCATGATCCCAGGGTCCTGGGATGGAGCCCCACATCAGGCTCCCTGCTCGGCGGGAAGCCTGCTTCTCCCTCTCCCACTCCCCCCTGCTTTGTGTTCCCTCTCTCGCTGTGTCTCTCTCTGTCAAATAAATAAAATCTTAAAAAAAAAAAAAAAAGTCCACGTTGGTTACTTTAATCTAACTTGACCTTTTCTCATTACAGGGCTACCACACACAGCGATCTTATTCTGAGAGCAACAAAACTGGGAATCTCTTACCGAGTTATTCACAATGCTTCCATAATGAATGCTGTAGGCTGCTGTGGTTTACAGGTAATACTACAAAAAAGGTGTTTTTTTTAATGGTAGTTAGCAAAATTGTTTTGGAAAACTACAAACTGCAGGTAGATTTTGTTCCATATCATGAATTTTAAGATGTTACTATTTTATATACATTAGTGGGCATGAAATTTTTTAATACTGAATTTTTTATACTCTTTTCCTATAACTTAGATCTTTTTTCTCATTGGAATGGACCACTGAAATTTAGCTACAGAAAGATTTTAATCTTATATCCAACTTTGGCATACAAAAACAAGGAAATTTAATATAATTAAATTGGCTAAGTTTTCCTAAAGCCTTTTCACATTTCTTCCAAATAACTTATTCTGCATTGCTGAAGCATATTTTTCTACACAGTTGTTATTTGCTGTGCTATCAACAGCATTGTGATGCAGCATTTCTTAAAAGAATCTGTAAAAAGAACCAAAAGCCAGTCATATTCAGCTTTTAAGCCACCTTTGTAATTATTGCTGTGTAAAGTTGGTTAATTTTAACCCAACAGTCTTGATTCTGAGGGGTTAAAAGAGTGCACTGTAACTGTTTCCAGGGTTTTCTTCCAAGCTTGATATTTGTGTTCGGATGTTCGGATGTTCGTATGTATATGATATATGACAGCTATGATTGCTCATGGCCAACACCGGTTTAAGACTTAATTGCTTGTTAGGACACGTTCCTGTTTTAGATACATCATAACAAAAAAATGTGCATCCTAGAATCTATGAAATGAGGTGTTTCCCACTATGTCTTCCTGGAATGCAGAATTTAAAATTGTTATTTACACACTAAGATACATTAACATTGGACACCAGTGCTGTGTCTGTAGCTTTAGAGGTTTCTGTATTTTCTGCATTACCCAGGAAGAGTATCTCAATTTAATTGACATCCTGGCCAGTCATCTCAGAAATACTGCCTTTGGTTCTGAAGAATCAGAGAAAAGGTATAAATGATTCACCTTTTAGTATTTGTTACTTGCTCTTAGTTATTAATTTAAATTGGCAAAAAATTTTGCTATCTCTTTTGTCTTCTAATAAAATGCATACTTTAAAAAACCTTGCCAATTCAAGTCTGCTTTATACTTTAAAGCCCGTCTGACTTCTGTGTTGGAGTAAGTGAATGGAGTTTCTTGATTCTCAGTCCAGTATTCTTTTTTTGTAGACAATGTACTTTTTAAGAACTGATGGTTGCCATGAAAAAGGAAAAGAGAGGAATAAATTAATCTTGTGCTACCCAAAGATGTGTAATAAACCTTAAGCTAATGGGATATATATTTCTCGTGTTGGTTTTATTTTTATTTCTGGTAGGGAAAGTTAACCTAGCCCCTTTCCATCATATTTTGGTCTAAATTATCATAACTTATCATTTAGAGGTTTTCGCTTCTTTTTAAGCATAACGTTTTTTAAAAGATCCTTGTCTTCATCACATGTATATCTATCATTCATACTGGCAAGAACTAAACTAGGGTGACCCTGTCCTCCTGATCCTCTAGACTGGTAGAGGGGTACAGTGTTCTTGTTCTCATGTTTAAAATAGATGAAGGTATTTGAGAGGAAATTTACTGTGAGAATTGGCAGTCTCCATATAGGCCCTTAAGATCATATCCACATGGTACATAGATTTTTTTTTTTTTTTTAATTTAGCTTTCTCTCAGTCTTATATAGGATTTTTCTAGGCAACCACAAAGCATTGTTTCCCCATCTGGGTTCTTTTCTCTAATCTGGGTATGAAAATGACTTACTACTTGTGTGAAAAACAGGAAGTGCCTTTTTAGGTTCTGTCTTACGTATTTGATGAAGTCTCGGTGAAAGTATACTTTTTGTACCACCCAAGTTATTTATATTCCAGGAGAAAGAGGTAATTATTGATACCTTTTATACACTTTCTAAGATAAAAGGCATTAAAAATACAGTCATTATATTTTTGGCACTTTTAAATTTTAAAACAAATGTTTTGACATTTGATATTTGTTCATGACATCCTGCATAATACATAAACTTTGGCAAAGTTCCCTTCCTTATAATGGCTGCTCTTTTTCTCTTGAGTATTTGGATCAGCGTTTATGGGAAAAACAATAATCTACACCAGTGGTTCTCAGACTTTAGTATTCATCAGAATTACTTAGAGGGCTTATAAAAGAAATGACTGGCCTTGCCCTCAGATTTTCAGATACAGTAGGTCTGGGGTGGTGGCCTAAGAATTTGCATTGCTAGCAAATTCTCAGGTGATGCTGAAGCTGCTCATATAGGTACCCATTTTGAGAACCACCAACCTAGACAGATAAAAAATTTCTTAGAAAGTTATAGAACTGTACTTTCTTTTAGCATCGCAGAATTGGAAAAGTAGATTTTAGTTCCCAGAAATAGGCTTGCTAAATGTAGAATGTATTACCTTGCCATGTTCTCTTTCTCAATTTTTTAAAAGGGAAGTGGGCACCACTTTCGAAAGACATTCTGTCATCTCTGTGAACACTTTCCCCTGAGTTATTAGGAAAACAGCCATCAAGTTATTGAACAGAAGTGCTGTTTTGGGTACTGTGACAGACCTGAACAGTACATGCTTTGCAACATTTTTTTTTTTAAGATTTTTATTTATTTATTTGAGAGAGGGAGAGAGAGAGCATGAGCAAGGGTGGGGGGAGCAGAGGGAGAAGCAGACTCCCCACTGAGCCCAATGCAGGGCTTGATCCCAGGACCCTGAGATCATGGCTTGAGCTGAAGGCAGATGCTTAACAAACTGAGCCACCCAAGCGCCCCTGCAACATTTTTACATTAGGTTAAAGAGTAGTAGTTTGAAATTCCTAACCTGGAAATGGGCACAGCTTTTTTTTTTTTTTAAGTTATCAATTTGTTAGCCCTTCTGAATTTTCTTATTGTTGTTTTCTAAAGCAGCAGAGAGAGCTCAGAATTGACTCTTGAGTATTTTTCATTCACTTTGTAGTTTATTAACTAGCAAAAGACTCCTTATTATCAGTATTAATGAAGATAACTGGTTGCATAGACTAACGCTTCTAAACCAGTTGATATGCATTCTATTATAGGTATGCCATAAAATAGAATTTTTTTATTGCAAAGACCATATTCCTGTTAAAATTTTCCTTGTTAAATGGAATGTATATTAGTGATTGCCAAGTTAGACATCATTAAGAGGAATAGTGATCCATTTATTCAACAAATATTGTTTGCCTTATTGTTTGCCTACTAAGTATCTTTGGATACACTGATAAACCTGTCCAAGAAGGTCCATGCTCTCAAAGAGCTTACATTCTAGTAGGAAGGAGAGGCAGTAACAGCAATAACAGATAAATGTCAGGTAGTGGGAAGTATAAGAAATTCAAGTACACTGATAAATGTTAGAGAGTTGGCTTCACTGTTGTAGTTGGGTGGTCAAGGAAGGTCTCACTAAGGTGGTGTTATTTAAGATTAGATATGAACCAAGAAGAAACTAGCATATTCTAGTCACAGGGAATGGTTTATGCAAAGACTCTAAAATGGAAATGACCTTGGTTCCTCGAAGGAACCAAAGAAGGGCTTATTGGAGAGTAGTAGGCAGGGAAAAAGCAATCTGAGGTCAGATAAGTAGATAGGATTGGATCACTAGGCTCTCTAATCCAATGTGAGGCATTTGAATTTTATTCTTAGTGACTTGATCATGTAGAAGAGTATGATTAGGTTTAATTTACTTCCGGACTCTGAAGTCTCTCCTTTTGTCTTGTGAAGAATTAGTAGTCCTGGCATAGATACCAAGTATATGTATGTAAGTGAAAGAAGCATGACACAGAAGACCATATATCGTAGGATTTCATTGATATGAAATGTCCAGAGAAAGCAAATTTATGAAGACAGTAATTAGTGGTTGGCTGGGAGTGAGAACAGATATTACTTACTAAATGTACATGTGGGATCTGATTGGAGTGATAAAAATTTTCTAAAACTACATATGGTAGTGGTTGCACAATTTGGTAAATTTACTAAAAATCATTGAGTATACACTTAAAATGGGTGAATGTTGTGGTATGTAAATTTTATCTCAGTGAAGTGGTTTAAAAAATGAATTACAAGAGGTTTGCTAGATGAATAATAAGGTTAAATACATTCCCAACAGAGAGAAATGTTCAGTTAAAGAAGAGAGTCATGGAAGCGCTTCGGAGCATCTGCATGGTATTTCACACACACACACACACACACACACACACACACACACACACACATACACCAGTGAATACATACATATGTACCACAGAACCTTGGCTTCCTAGAGATTAGTTAACACAAGATTGTGAATATATGTGTTGGATAAAAACTGACTGTATATTGGGTAGAACTGCCAAAGGAAAAGTAATAATGGGAAAGGTTTAAAGTTGAACTGCATTTTAAAAGGTCTTGGTTTTACTTTTGCTCAGGCAGTTAACTAAGGAGTCCTCTAACTTTACTGGATCTGGATAGTCAGGTTTCCTAACTGTTAAGGGGATGAGATGGGGACAGGGAGGAATGCTGGACAAGACCAGTGGTTTTCATAGTGTATCGGGATCTATGAAGATGTTTCAGCAGTTCTGCAGAAAATGAAGTACTTGAGACCCAATAGCAAAGAATAAATCCCCAAGGAGTCCAGTCTTTATCTTTACCCCCATTGATGTTCTGTTTGAGAATTTATTTGGGAAAAAAGATTTGGCAGTAAAAAGTACGAAGAATACTAAACTAGATAAACTTTAATATCCTCTAGAATTAGAAACCAAAAAGCTGGCCTGTTTTCTGTCTTTAGGCAAAGGTTACCTTGACCAAGATACATTAAATACTCAAATTTTCATTAAGTATATCTTTGGATTTTTTACAATTTAAATATTTAGTTATAAACATGTATACTTTAAAATCATGTTCTTTGAAATTCCTAAGTAACAGATATTTCTAACACTTGTGTAATTTGTATTTTGAGGATTTCTCTAGTCAAAGAAAAATCCATCTATTTGTGAAGAGCCCAGGCAAGTTGGTTGTATTTAG